GACGTTTCTGATCTAATTTGGGAACACTGATCAAGGATATTCAGATGAATGGAGAATAATGGGGAAATTACTTCTGGTTCCCAGTCTCCCAGGAAGGAGGGATTGGTGCAAAGTGCTCACCTCTGATGGCATCACCCCGTGCAAGCAGGGAGAAGGGGGTTTCCAGCCCAGCACTTTCACCCAAGGGTGCCCATGGTCCCTGGGACATCCCATGTCCCCCTTAATTTCCGACAAGCACAGGCACATCTTCAGTTTATGCTTTCTACAGCTGCCCGCTTTCATCACTCATTACATCTGTATTAGTGAAGACACTACAAAAAATATCTGGACTGGGAATATAGAAATTAAATCTGATAGTCAATCCAAAAGAATAAATGCTGTAACCACAAACATCACGATTTAAAAGAGAGACTAAGGGAAGACAGTTTTCACTAGAGGGAAGGGAGTAACTAGCTCACACTGTACACCCACAGAATCGCCCAGGTTGGATAAGATTTCTAAGACCTTTTAATCCAACCACAGACCCAACACTGATGAGTCCTCGACTAAAGCAGCTCCCTGAGCGCTGGGTCTGCCCGACTCTGAAATCCCTCCAGGGACAGGGACTCCAGCCCTGCCCTGGGCACCCGTTCCAGTGCCTGAGAACTCCTCCAGTAAAGAAATTCTTTCTAATGCCCAAACTAAACCTCCCTTGGCGCAACGTGAGGCCATTTCCCCTTGTCCTATCACTTGTTACTTGGTTGAACAGACCGACCCCACCTCACTACACCCTCCTGGCAGGGAGTTACAGAGAGCAACCATGACACCTTTGAGTCTTTTCATTACCAGTCGATGACCTTCTGGAAAATAACAAAAACTCCCAATTTTCACACCACCTACCAGCCTACATCCCCTATAGCATCTCAGTCATTCTGCACATGCTTTCACAGCATACTCATCTGCAAACAAGCAAACAAGGTGTTTGTTGGGTATGTACACCTCCAGACCAGTTTTCCCAGGATTTAATCACTCTAGACAACCCAGACTACTCAGCCTGTGTGTCAATACACATAATTATTCCCTGCTCAGAAGGCAGGGAGCCTTGGCAGGCTGACAGGATTGACTTTGTGCTCTGTAGCACACACCGAAACGCAGTACTGACCCAGCATGGAGAACACAGCCCTAATTTGAATTACAAGAAACCCAGAAACCTGCACCTATTTAAAGCTCTACCTGAGCTCAGACGCTCAGTGCTGGCTCCCCTCTTGTTGGGGACAGATCATCGGACAACGACGCTACCACGGCCATGCACGAGGGCTGGCACGGGTGAGCTGGAGTGGCTCAAGGCTTTTAAAGCTGTGCTCCTGATTATACAGAGAAGAACTTACTTGCTGGGGTCTTTCCACAAGAATTAATGCTGATAAACATAAGCAGAGTCAAAATTCAGACCAGACAGCGTGGTAACAATATTTATCCTGCAGAAGTTAATAAAAAGCTAACCCACGATGATTCCCTGAGCTTATAGATCAGGGTAACTGAGAATGAGACAGGATAACCACCTGGAGGGCTGGATTGAATGCACTCACCTCCAACCCTGCCCTGGCTGTGCAGAAGCCCGAGGGCTCGACTCTCCGACAGCAAAGCAGACGACAGTTACCCCAGCTGGGTACTGCAGGTGTTCCACACCACAGTCCAAGGCAGCTTTTCATCAGCTGGCCAGGGAATGTCACCCGACTCACATCTTGCGTCAGCCGTCGTTCTGAGAAACAACATCATTTTCCCCATAGGAAAATTTAAACCCAAGCCAGGGTCATCTCATCACCTGATTTTGCATGCAAGCAGCATATGCAGATGTCAAATACAAGTGATACACCAAGGAGATTCAAAGCGTGTTTTAATTCAAATTATTCCAATTCCAAATATAAACCAAATTGTTACCAAAATTTACATTACATGATATCTAGTGAAAGATTTCCCTGCTCACTGCACAGGGGTTGGACTAGATGACCTTTAAAAGCCCCTTCCAGCCCAACACCTTCTATGATTCTTTTTTTTCTTAAGCAGAAGAATCCTGTTAAAAGTTACCATTCTTTACCAGCTATTGGATTTCACTTCATTCTCAACACTCCGTAAAATATCAACAGGAGAAAAAGCACTTAACTGCATTTCCAACCTAATTAAAAAGAAAATTTTAAAAAAATCTAAGGTAAATCAACACTCTTTTAGTTGGACTGTTGGATTAGAAGAGACAAGAAAAACTAACTGTGCATCCTGAGGGGCTGTAAGAGAAACCCAACGCTTTTGACCTAACCTCTTGCGACACTCGCACAGCAAATGAGAAACACCGATCTCCACCAGAGCAATATTCCTGAGCGCGTGTCGCAGCTGCTCTCGACCACCACTCCCCGACTCGAGAAATCCCAAAGCCGAAGAAGCACGAAACAACAGAAATGGACCACAAGGAGACCGCAGGCTGTGGGCCACGGCGTCCAGCCAAGTGGCAGCAGAACGGAGGTAACTTCACAAAGCGAGAACCCCACAGGATTCCAGTGTTGGATTGAAGGGGGTGAAATTCTCAGAGGCAAATTAAAAGAAAATCATTAGCAATTCAAACTTCAGTGCCATCTTCTTCAGCCGTTTCAACGTTCAGTTTCAAGCTTTGGTTTTATAAATCAAGCCTTCTGCTCTGCAAACTGCAAAGAGAATGGAAAACAAGAGGTAATTATGCCATGCACCTATATCACCCACACACTACTTTTTTATTTTCAAAAATAAAATACACTTTAGCATTAGATTGTCTTCATGCTCTGTGCTGGCAGATAGAAACCCATGCAGTTACCGTTGCCAATATTCCCTGTCAACACACAAACAAGCAGAGAGACAAGAAAAGAGAAGGACAAAAAAAGATTTCCTGTCTGCAGTTCAAACCACCGCACGTCTGCTGCAGGACTCAAATTTGTATTTTACCCACCAATATCACCAGGACCTCTCACACAGGCAAAACTATTTCAAGTCCCTTTTTTTCAAAACCTCTTTTGGGGGGATGCAGGTGCCTGCAGGGCTGCAGAGGAGAACAAGGTAGCGCTGAACCGAGTTCTGCCTTGGCCACTGACCCAGAGTTGACTCGAGGCCACCAAAGCCCACAAAATCTGTCCTCGGTGCTGTGAAACGACCGAATCTGCAGGATTCCCACTCAAAGAAAACAGGCAGGCAAACAGGCGAGAGTTACGGTGCTCCCACGGAGCAGAAGTCCAACTTGGGAGACGGGAAGAAGGAAACTCATGCTTTTTTAGTGGGGTTATTTATTATGCAGATACTCGTCAAATCCCCCCTTCCACGCACGCCTTGCTGCAGCCCTTGGCTCCTCTCCTTCTCTCTGCCCCCCCTTGCCCCTTTAGCCCCCCGGCGTGGCACAGAGCATGCTGCCCTGAGGAAACATTTTCACTGCCCGGTAGGAACGTGCCCAATACCTCCGTTGGCCTGCGTGGGAGGAACGTGTGATCAAGTGGATACAAACAGACTAGGACCACATTACAAGATTTTGTAAATCAAAGGTTTGGACTTTCCAGGAAGTGAAGTTCTTTATCAGGACACTTGGGAACAGAACCTGAAGTTGTAAAGACAGAATAACACATTTTATGGATGGGACTGTGTGACAGCAGTTGGCAGTTCCCGAGAACAAAAACTAAGCAACCAGAACCAAAGATCTAACACGCGTCCTTGAGCGAGGGAAATCCCGAGAACCTCTGACAGCATTTGTAAGGGCTGGCTGCTGCTTTGCTCCAGCGCTTCACGCTCTGCTCACTACCCACGAGGATCAGGAGAAAATTCTCCTTTCTTCTCCCTGATGCACAGTTACGCTTATGAAGGCCGGAAAGATTTTAGGCTTCCACTGAAGCTCTGGAGAACAAAGTCAGAGGTCGAGGCAGAGCACCTGGGTAGGCTTAAGGCATCTGGTTCACATGCTTTGCTCACACATTCAGATCTAAAGCTGAGATTTCACATCAAGAGGAATTCTCCTGCATACCCAAAGGTCAGGGACCTCCTTCCAGGGAAAAAAAGAAACGATCTTTCAGACCACGTGTTATCTGCTTCCTAGGATCACCTGGGAAACCTAATAAGTCATCTGCAACTGCAGAAACCAAAGCCGCCGGCAATGCCCTCAATAAGTCGCGGCGTGATAACTACAGAGCACGGCACGACACGGCGTGATCTGCACTGAGATACCGGTACAGCAAACCGCGAGTCTGCAGCTGCCAGCGGGGATCAGAAGGATGTACTCGTTCAAAGGACAGAGCCCATACTTTGTATTTTTCTGCTGTGGATAATCCTTTCCAGCAGACGAAAAAACCCTCAAAGTTATTAAACTAAAAGCTGGCAAAAAAACCACGTTATTCCTTCAGGGACAGCACGAGCAGATCCCAAGTACGGCACAAATCTGTGTAGGAGCAAAAGACAACACGGATTTAACAGCCTCTCCCCTGCACATATACTCAAATACAAACCCATCTACACCTCACGTGTTTCAGGCGACCGGCCTAGAGAACTAAAGTCACTATATGGCATCACAGTAATTACCAGGTGTAAGCAATTTTAATCTGCTTGCTGAAATGCAGGACCTTGGGTAGAGAAGTAGTGCTTATAAGACAAATAGTGTTGCCTTACTACTTACTTACTTACTACTTACTGTTACTGACTACTTACTGTTGCTTATAAATGAAATAGTGTTGCCTTATTGTGGAAAAAGCTCTTTTCTTGAAGCTGTTAATACATTTCAACTCTCTAAAACCACAATATGAAAAACCCGAAGCGCGCTCTAAGAGCTTGGCTGCCAGGAGGAGAGCTCCCTCGATGAGGAATGCAAAACTCACCGTGGAGAAACCTAACGACAAAAGCTTTAAGACCCTACACACACTCTGCTTTTGAGCAGTTTAAAAATTACGTGAGGCAAGAATTACCAGGAGACAGTTTAGGGAGAAAGGCAGAGGACTAGAGGGGGAATTATTTTTAGAGTGACAGCATTAAGGCAGCAGCCCACTCACTGCAGCTTTCAGAGCCTGATCCAGGTCTTCCAGTAAGTCTTCTTCGTCTTCCAAACCAACCGACAGGCGAATTAATGTATCGCTGATTCCAAGAACTTCTCGATCTTCTTTAGGTACTGAAGCATGAGTCATGATGGCCCTGGAGGAAAAAAAAAAAAATAGCATTTTTTTCTAAGAAGTTACACAAACTGCAGAGAAGTCAGTGACTTTATCTCCCACTATTTCCATACAGTATTTCCAAGCTACACAAGACGAATAAGAACTGGTTACTTAATCTGGAACTGAAAAAGGAGAAAGTCCTTTTCCTTCCGGAGAGCTTTTTTTTTTCCCCCCCAAAAAAACCCCAGTATTTAAAAGCTCTGCTTCAAGCGTGTGGAGAAATAGCTACAGTACACAATCTCCAGTATAAAATCTGGGGGTTTTTTTGTTTGTTTGTTTTTAAATTTCTGATTTCTCAAATCACTTGTCGGCCTGTAACCATTACGTTGAAGAGTTTATTCTCTCCAGCTCTGGAGAATATACGTAAGAAGCTCCTTGCCCCACACACTCAGTCACTGACACCCACCAACTCACAATCACCTTTGAACTGCCTGCGCATTTTACACTTTGCTGTTACTCTAAAACGAGTCACTGAAATTACTCAGCGTATCAGCTGAGTCATAACGTTCCGTGTATCTTTTGAAAAAGCAAAAAAAATCCGACAAAAATCCTATTTTTAGCCTCTTCACCTAGACAGACATCCCTAAAACTCCTACAAAAGGTGCCTGCAGCTCGGTGCAGCGTGCCAAATGTGCCCTCTGGTGTAAGCAGCCAGAACAGCAGAACTCTCCTCAACGGCCTGATGAGATCGGCTCAGTTCTACTTAATTCAAACACGTGCTGACTTCTTGGATTTCTTATCACAACAAGAAAATGCAGCTCGGTCTTCCCGTTAAAACACGGAAGCGTGGAAATGTTTTCAGCACCGTGTTCCTACATTCGTGCCTGGAGCAGCCGCTGGGTTTTGTGCTTCACAACACACTATTCCTTGACTTTCAGTGATACTCAACAGAGCTTTGCATACTAGAAAAACTTTAGAGCTCCCATATCAGAAGCTTCTCTGTTACTCTGCAGCTATTTTAGACTTTTAAGATGAAGAATGACTTACGGATGTTCTGCGAGGCTTTCGTATCCACCCAGACTCTCAGCGAGGGCAAAAACCTACAGGGGAAAAATTAAGAGAATTTAAAGTAAGAAGTATAAGGTTAGGAATGCTTAAAGACAGTTAAGGAAAAACAGGAAGAAAACTTTTAACATTCTGAGTTTTTCTATAATAGCTTTTATATAACAAAAGCTATTAGCTGCAATTAGGGGAAAAAAGGGTACATTTATCAGGTGGGAGCTATTAAGACTTAAATCAACCTTGTCCTAAAAAGGCTCTGATACAAAATTGAAAAAAAATAAAATAAAATATGCCCATGAGGAACAAACACCCCTCGGGAGTCGTTCCTACAGCACAACGCATGGGCAGCAGTGGAGGAAGAGCAGGAGGGAGAAGGCAGCAGACGAGGGAGCAGCTCTACCTGGGCTCCACCACTTTTCTTTCTCTTCAGAGGAAGAACAGACTCCGATCTTAAAAATTTCAGCCGAGGTTGAAGCGATTACATCCTATCCTCAGACACCCTGCTCTCAGCATCACTCAGTGCTGCTCACGTTTAACACCCCTGCTTTTCAGGCTGGCAAATGGCAGAGTTGACAGGGAAGAACACTCGGGAATTTCAGATTTTTCCCAGAAGGCTGAACAGATTTTTTCACTCATTGCTCAGTTACTTTAGTATTTCGAAAACCAGACTAAGTTTCTCAGGACTAATGTTTGTGAAACGCTTACTGTTAGGTAAGAGGGGGTGTTTTTAGCACTCTCTGAATTATGGACACGTATTCCTGATGACAAGAAGTGAGGCAGCTGCGCACACACACAGATTCACCATCTGCCTGCTGTGAACACACTCGCTGCCCTGAATGTTTCTCTGCAGCCCTGGTTGCTCATATTCACTTTTTTTTTCCTTAAAAAACAATACAGCTAAATCTATCAAACAAATAATCCTCTTTTCAGCCTGGTTTAAGTAAACGACTTTATTTTCGTAGCAACCTAGTGATAACCTGACTGTTACCAAAGTCAGAGGGCTGAAGTGAGGACACTCCTAAGGGACTACTTCTCATGGAATATATTCCCCGGCACTTTTTGTCAAAGCTGGTAGATCTCCTGTTCTCTCTCTTGTAAAACAGTACTTTGTGGAAAAATCATACTTTTGGTAAATTCGTTTTCAGTTGATGACATTAGCCAGAAAGTAAGTCAGACAGAGAGGAGGAGGAAGTTCCAATTTACCTTTGTTGTTTATTACTGATTTGTCTTTCCAAGAAGAAAACAGCCAAAACACAAGAGCAGGATGCAAATTAATCATAGATCAAGACTAGTAAACACATTAAATTAATACAAGCGGAATTAAGATATTGCAAAGACCGAAGCAAAAGCTGATGGGTTAGGTAAAATAAGCAAACAGCTCTTCTCCAAGCTGAGGGACTCCCTCATGATTCATGTCATTTCTCAACGTTTTCCTCCTTTGAAATACTACAACAGTGTTACATCAGCCACAGCTTCTCTGCTTTCACAGACTACAGGCATTTTTGCGAAAGGCCTGGCACGCAGACCCTTTATTAGCAGCAATGCCTGGGCTAACCTGGATATACTACACCCTACTGTGTAAACAAAACCTTCAAATGAGCTCAGGCATCTTCCTCCCTCCTCTCATTAGCCTCTCATTTACAAATAATCTATTATTTGGAGATGACTACGCCCAAAATGAGCTTTGAAATGACAGAGAAAGACTCTCCCTGCCCCAAGAAAAAAATCTTCCTTCCATTATCACTCTTAAGACAATCTCAAGTCCCTCGAAGGCCGTGTTTGACGTGATTTACCTTTAAATTCTTCAGAAAGGACACAGCATGTTTGAGATTTCCTTTAATGTAGAAGGTTACCATTCCAGGACAGCCAGTGCACTGTTGCTTGACCAGCTCGTGCTGCGGGTGCGAAGGCAAGCCTGAAATTTGGAGAAATGGCTCTAATTACCGTCACTTTGAAAGCGTAAAAGCAGCTCACCGTCGGCGCATCACCCGGGCACCAAACACGAAGGGTGCACAGAGGACGTGTGGTGTGACAGGGCTCAAACTCTGCTCCAAGGTCCTGCCAACCCACCTGGGTAAATGACTTTCTCCACCCGGGAATCCGACTCAAGGAATCGAGCGACAGCCAACGCATTGTGGAAGTGTTGTTTCATCCGGACCTGCAGAGTCTTCAAACCACGATTGCACAGGTAACAGTCGAAGGGGGATGGAACAGCTCCAAGAGCTACAGAAATCAAAATCAAATTCCATGGAAAACAAAGCGTTGTTGGTTTGTTGGGATTTTTTTTAGTAAAACTAAATACAGTCCTAATTCCCAAAATTTCTAAAGATAGAACAAGTGGCAAGACATTTGATGCAGTCTGTCTTCCTCATCTCACACACTTGGGAAGCTAATTAATGAGCTGAATTAACAAGCAGAAGAATAAAGGATTGCATTTATTAAACTCAATATACCTTCCCTCTTTCTGCTGTAGACAGAGGGCAGACAGAACTCTGTATGGAAATTTAGTCATTACAGTTAAGGGGCAGCAAAATTGTTAAAATCAACCTATGCAGGAAAATTGTGCATTTGGCATTATCCTCTGATGTGTGAATGAGTTCAGAAAAACTCCTGGTGTACTTGACACGAGTTAGATGAAAGCAAACAGAGGCATAATTTAAATGTTTGCATGCCTCTTTGTATGTGATGTCAAGTGAATACAGGAAATAATGGCCACAGTCTGAACAATCACAGACTCACAGACTCACAGACTCACAGACTCACAGACTCACAGACTCACAGACTCACAGACTCACAGACTCACAGACTCACAGACTCACAGACTCACAGACTCACAGACTCACCGAAGCTGTGATTCTTAACTACTCTTAATTATTCTTAACTATAACCCAAAGCAAGACTCTGCCCCGGTGAAGAAATGCTGAACAACCCACATCACTCTCAGCACTTTTGTGAAGCAATTTGAAAGTGGAGACCAGTGTCAGTAACTTTTTCTGAGAGAGAAGCCACTGAGGGGAACCAAAAGCCATCATGCTGGCCTAAGGCCACCCCACATCCCAGTGAAAGGCAGGGAGGAGAATTCAGGTTTCCTACACCTGTGTTACTGCTTCCTCTCCAGTCATCTAAACGCCTGAACGACATCCCTAGAGAGATTTTGTACTCGTGCACATCCAACGTGCTTCCCACTATGAGCTGGTACATTTGAGATTATTCATTTCAAGGTATGCCCCATGTTGACTACTCACAGTTTTGCAAGAACTTGAGCCTTTCATAGAGATCAGCACAGTTTACTGAAACAAGTCCCATTACGACATCACTATGCCCTAAAAAAAAAACCGCAAGAGGACAAGAACAGAATCAGCCACTCCATCTGCTCCAAGGTTCTGCCACAAGTCCCTGTTTTCTCAACTGCCCACAGCCAGGGTGGCTTTTAAATAGCCAGACAGAGTTGTGACGACCTCACGCACTCACCGTTCATGTACTTGGTTGCAGAATACATACAAATGTCAGCCCCCAGCGATAAAGGACGCTGAAATGAAATGAAAACAACCTGTGAGATTAAACCCCATGTGCACTCGGGTTCATTTCAAGCTCTCCAGAAAGACTGCGACGCAACACGAAAATAACAACGGGCAGAGAAACTGAAGAAATGCACAAAAACTTGACGCAAAACACCTTACACACAAGAAGGTGAGAAAAAAGACAGACAGATTATGTGACAAAAACAACAGTAGAGGCAAGCCCTCTGAATCTGAGACAAGCACAATGAAAAGAACCCATGATAAAATGGGATTTAAAAGCACCACCAAAATGTGATTTAATTCCCACCAGCTGCAGGGAGAGGAGTGACTGAATACACCTAACATATAGCCAGTTCATATTTGTGGAAAAAATGCTTAGTCGAGGCAGGGATAAGTAATGGCATCTACCCTGAAGTATACTTCCTGAGAAACTGAAGTCCTCAACACAGTCTGCAAAGCAGAAAAATTCCTTTTTCCTGCTATCAGTATTGGCACGGGAAGAACAACTGAAAACCTGAAGAAAGCGCAAAGGGTTTTGGTTGCCGGGTCTCTCTTCCCTAACCTTCCCAGAAGCCTTTTCAAGGTGAGGTAAACCGTGACCTTGATGGGCAAGAAGTAATGAGCAATCTTCTTTTTTATTTATTTTAATCAGTCACTTTGAAAAGGACTTTGAACATAAGGCAAACATATTAAAAAGACCGAAGAGCATCCATATGTTAAAAGGTAACAAAGCAAGCAGCTTGAAAATAAAAGACCTTTGGTACATAAAAGACAAACTCAAATGTTGCTTTAGCTAAGCACTAACACCTTCTGTGAAGCTCTCTGAATTGATCAAGCTGTGAGCACCCTTCACAAGAACAGACACCTTGCCTTTTGCACTCATAAAAAAAATATTTTAATTTACACCTAATACGCAAGGGATTGGCTTGGTCTTCTGGGAAATACACATAAATGTTTCTAGCCCATGGTAAGATGAACAAGGCTTTGGATTTGATTATTACGGAGCATGTTCAGACCTTCCGAAATTGTCTTCCCTTCCCATGTTCTAGTTATAAAAGCTGAAAAGTTATGCCAGTTGGTCAAGGTCAAAATTTCAAACGTCTAAACCACATGTTCACCGAAATATTGAAGAAGAAGGTAATTTGAATGTCTCTGAGAAAGATTTAACAAAGTTTTCTTGTTTTAACGTTCTCTCCCACTACCTTTTTAGAATATCCCATGGTTCAGAGCAGATCATAAACAGCTTATACAAACGAATTGGTACAAAAAGGCCAAATTAGAAAACAGAACGCTTTTAACAGGCCTGGTAGGATTTCCAGCAGTGAGAACTAAATAGTATGATTTCTGAATGACAGAGAAGCTGCTCTCCCTACAGCTTACCTGACTGTCCGGATTCAGTGTGTTTACTTGACCGCTGAGCTGTACTGGTTGTGCTGGTAACCCACTGGTACATGGCCAGCCATAAAAGACTTTGCATCCCACCTTTCCTAACGTAGCAGCAGCAGGACACGGGTTGGATTTAGAAACAGAACAGGTAATTGTACAACGATCAAGCCTCGAGCCCCTTGGTGGTGCTTCCATTTAAAAAATGTCTCCTCGAATACACTGAAACAAGGGGATGACTGCAAACACGAGCGCTTACCTGGAAGTACGCCGACATGAAAGTGTTGTCTACCACCAGAAGAACATCTTTGTGCTTATGCACGATGTCCGCGCAGGCCCGAATGTCAATGACCTTCAGCGTGGGGTTTGTGGGTGTCTCAATCCAAACGAGCTGCAGTAAGTCAACGACACAAACCATCAGGGCAGGGCTTTTACGTGCCAGCATGTGGGTAAGTCACAAGGGCAACTCGGTGAGAGTCAGCGTCCTCGCAGAAGAAAGGGAACGTTTCTTGGCAGAGGGAACATTCTCCACAGAAACAACTGATATGTGGGGAGAACATCAAAGCTCTTGGAAACACAAGTGCATTGAAGAAAGTCTGACACAGCCAGAGAAAGGCTTTATACTCCAAAGTCCATAAACCTTCTCCAGTTCAACCATCTTCCACCAGAGCTGGGGATTATCTGCTCCAGTGCCAAGGAGCGCCTTCTCCTCCTCCCACCTTTGTGTTCCCTCTGCTGTTTCTCACCTTTTCCCTCCTCCTCTCTCTCATTCTGGTGTTTTCTGCTCTTCTTAAAATGTTTTCAGTGAGGCCCCACCAAGCAGCTCACAGGAGAGATGTGCTGGAGCCAGCCCCAACCTGCCCCTGCAGAGGCCACCCCTGCAGCCCCCTCCACTTGACACTTACACCCAACACCAGAGCAAGAATAAAACTACTTATTGACATTAAGCAAGTAAATTCAGCAATTTCCCTCTCCCCTACCTTGGTCTCTGGTGTAATTGCAGCTTCCAGGCATTCTGGTTTTGTGCAGTCCACAAAAATGACGTTCAAGCCAATTTTCATGGCTACTTTCCTGAAGTATCGGTTCGTGCCTAAACAAACAAACAAAAAAAAACAAACCAAAGGAAAAAAAAATCAGAGCCACAAAATGAAACAACTTCCTTAACTTTCCTCCTCTGACCTCCAGCCCTCTGTACGCATCCAAGGAAAGTCAGGAGGGCACCGTTTCATGCTGCACACCATAAATTGCACATTAGTATTTTTTTATTTTCTAAAAAGTTTAAAGATTGCTGTAGCTATAAACGCCATGGAGAAGCAGTAATAGGAATATGGGATCAGAGTGATTTATTAAGTACTTTCAATTGATAGCTGTTTGGGGTCTTTTTAACCAGAAAATTACAGACCCCTTTTTGTCTGACTGCTTCAGAATTTTCCTCCAGCCCTTTGTCACACACGAGCTAGCAGTTCCAGTTTTTATACTCTCTTTCCCCCACTCCACTTTTAGTAACTTCTCCACCACATATTTTCAAACTCTTTTTTTATATTTAATAAGCTTAACTGAGAACCAGGGAGAAGAAGAATCAAGGGGAAGACTCTAGCTAGTATGTTTCTTATTCCATTGCATAAACCTGTAGCAAGGCACATCAAGTGATTATTTCCATCCTTTCTGCTTTTGAAGCCTTTCATCAGAAAGATTAAAAGAAATCAGAAACAACCAGTTTATCACTAGATGTGCAACACAGTCACTCTCTGGCAACAGAGTCTGGATTAAAAATTAATTCATTAGGCCTTTCTGCCAAGGTTATTCAACATTACTCACTTACATGGAACACCAGTTTGCCATCGAGCCACAAAGTCAGAGTGAGCACAGGGTATGAGTCAGGGCACCAAATGCCACGCCTGAATGGTTTTATTTTTTCTAAGGAAACACTTCTATTTCTACAGTAAGCAATACCTTACATTCTCTCCTGTGCTGCAAGATATTTGTTCAAGCATGAGACACTTTCTCACAGGCTGTCAACTCGACAAACCACAGGAAAGTTGCTTTACTTAGATACTTTTAATAAGTATAAAATCCTAAACAGAAATGAGGGGTTACACTGGAAGTACCCCTTTGAGGAAGCTACAGCAACGGCTCAGAATTCAGAAATGTCAACTACCTACATCTCCTCCTCATGCCTCCCAAAACTCCGTAGCTCTTAAACACATTCCAGGCAGCATGCTTTCCAGCACTGCCCGAGAGCTTCTTGGTTTCCTTCACTGTTTTTTCCGACAAGCTCAAATACTTCTGACTCATCTGAGTCAGTACGGCTTTCCCATCCAAGCAGGCTCTTTATCAAAAAAGAAACCACACTGCAAGCTTCCTGCAGCTAGCAGTACCCTCGGGGGAGCAGGGCCACGTGCCAGCAGCTGCTGACTCAAAGGTTGCTGAAGGAAGAAAGGCTGCACAGGAGGAATCCCCGCATGCAAAGAGGAGTCGGAGCAGGGGACAAGCAAGGAGGTGGTTGATAAAGGACCTGGCTGCAGCACACACAAACACGAGCAGGCAAGATGAGTGGGAATAGCTGGAGGAGCTCAGCCTAGAAGAAGGGCAAGTGGGGACTTTGAAACCCCTAAATATTTAAGGGAAGAGGTTGAACACACACTGGCCATGACGGGCAGCAGCAGATCTGCACATGTGCCATGTCATGGGGTGTGACCTCGACTGACCAGGACTGGCTGTGAGGAAGCTGGTTTCTTCAGAACAGAAGTATGGGGGGGAAAAAAAAAAAGTCAGGGAAGAAAGAGTGAAATTTATTTCTGCAGAAACCACCAGAGGCTGAGGCTTTAATGTGCAGGTGAACTGCTTTTGCTTGAAAAATACACCTGTGGGCCTTTCTGAAGTGAGGAACTGAAATAATACATTTTGGCCAAACAACTTGGATTTAGCAGGTTCTGAGGTGGAAGGGCTGTGAATTAAAGAAGCAGATTATCTGTGGGGATTCCCACTGTCTCAGCTTGGCTCCAGCTGTACTCTGGAGAAGAGTTATCTGGTGTGACAGAACTAAGACATTAAAAGCAAAAGTGTGTATTTAGATTTGTACACAAGCACAGAGAACCCACTGGCAAACAGTAGTCACTCTTAACCACGGGAAAGGTCATTACTCTAACTAAAAGGTTTCCCAGCTACTGCTTGGGAAAATGGCACCTGTTGCTGGCCCCTCTAACCTTCCTTCGACGAGAAAGCAGATTTGATCTCTTTGTGCCAAGGCCCTGAAGCAAACAGAGGGAGAATACAAGCTCTGCTGATCAGTGAAACCCAGGAGCTGGGCACTGGGGACACTGATTGTCACAGGACATCACACCAGATTTTTGGGTGATGTCAGACTTCCAAAGAACTTTGGCAGAACTGGACGCATTCTGTAACTGGGGAGTTTCTTGGAAGAATGAATCACAAAAAAAAATATCAATGCAAGATGAAAATCTCAAAGTGGGTCGCAGCATCGCTGAAGACATGGGCATAACAAATGCAAGTCGTGCTTTCAGGCAGGATGACAGAAAAGCTGCCCGAAACAGTCCAGGCCAAATGCTGGTTGTTACAGGGCCAACCCAGCAGAAGAAGAGAAGAAATACCAGAAGCTGGAAAGCTCTGCCATGCTGAACTGCAGAGGGATCTGGTCTGCAAACAGATTTGCACAAGGCTAGGGTGTTGCTGTTTTCCCCTCATTCAAGCACATAACAGTAGTTAGCTACAATTTTTTAAACCTCTGTGCTTGAATTTCTAACAACAAAATCAGGAGCATTCCGTGTTTTCATGAGGTGAAAAAGCTTTAAAGAAAAGGAAGGCCTACGTGGGAAATTCAGAAGTTCATGAGAATCAAAGATAGGTACATTTAATCATTTGCACAATGAAGATCAAAACCACAGTTGTGCTTTACATACCTCCATAGACATCATCCATGCAGATGATCGTATCCCCAGCCTTTAACAAGTGAGTAATATTCAAAGTAGCAGCTAAGCCAGAAGCATATGCTAAACCTAAAACAGAAAAGAGTAAGTGGCAGACAGACTGCATTTTAACATGCTACGACCTCGTCAAACTTGCCTTGGCCTTCCTCACTTCGCTGTTCAAAGGAACCTGTTCTGTCACTCTCACCTATGCTATCTCCACTCGTCAAGTGGATTCAGCAGAAGCTGGAACCTGATTTTACAGGGAGCAGAACCCCAGTCACACAGCCTGCTCACAGCTGCTCCCCACCGCATGCAGCACAAGTTCAGATCTGCTCAGGCATCAAATGCAGCCAGAGGAAGCAACTACAGAAAGCTCCACAACAGAGCTTGACTATCCGGAACAATAAGTTTTGGACTCTTGTCCTCCAGGAAGCAGCTCCTGCCCGTAACAAGAAGGCAGAGGCTGTGAAAGCCTCGCTGTGACACAACTGCTGCTGACAGCTCAGTGTCCTCGCTCCCCGAGTTATGCCTACGCTAGACAGTCAGGAGACACGCATGCTGGCGTCTTGCTTGAGGACCCTATTAATTGCTTACAGTATTTAGCTCCATCTAGCACTGCCACCGCCTTCTCCAGGCAATTCCGGGTCGGGTTTCCACTCCGGCTGTAGTCATAACCCTATTGAGAAAGCAAGAAACAAAGATAACTTCAGAGAGAACACCGTGAAAGTTTTGTACAGCAATAGCCCCAAGTTCCTCAAAAAGCCCTCGCTCTCAGCGCTGAGGTTACGCATCCATCTCCACCAAGAACAGCCGGCTGGTTTTCTGCTACGTCAAGCTGCTGCACACAATGACTGACTGGGCATCCCCAACCTGAAAATGGATTCTAGGGCTGCACTGGGGGAAACATCTTACTGCTGGCCATGTTCTCCCACTTTTTCCTAGATATTCCATCTCTGGTCACTGTTGGAGAAGATGCCTTGGGCTGACATAGTCCACTTGTTCTTACATTATCAGGAAGAATGTGTCCCACCTCCATGATGCTCTGCTTGAAAGATGTTACAAGGCACCGGCCAGCGCCAACCTGTATCCATCAAAAGTTCTCAAACGTTTCCCTGGCACACAATCAGATCAACACCCACGTTTCAGTGTAACAGCTCTTATGTGGATATTAAGAAAACTTAATGAGTTAAAAACACTCATGCATGCACAGATGCATTTGTTGCAGAGACAACCTGGCTAAGCATCGTGTACTCTCAGGATTTCTGTTTAACGAAAACTTCATCATATTCAGGAATCCAGTAACTGCTCTCACAGAGCTTCTCGCAAGAACGTGGCCACTCTATCATCAGTACGGGAATACAGCAGTGTGTGACTCCTTCTTCTGTGGTTCTCTTCAACACAGCTACCTACTTACAAGCATTCACAATTTTAGTCTGGGTAAACGATTTCGTGTGGCATCAAAGATCACAAGGCAAATTCCTACTGCTCAACCAGCACAGCGTGATGTTCAGGCCTCAGCTTTGGAGCAAATACCGATTTAGGAGTTGCAAATCTGTGCCGTTTCCCCCACACATGCATGGTAGCCATCAGAAAGTTCATGACAGTTCAACACGAACACTTCCAGTAATTTCTTCCAACACATCCACAGAATTCTTAGAAAATAGTTATTCGGTCTCGAAGGACGACTGAAACAGCCTCTTACAGAAGCCGTGCAAATGAGAAAACGCATCCTGCCTGGACCCAGAGGCAAAGTATTGCAATCACACAGGCTTCAGGAAGTTCCCGGCTGCACGCAAACCCCCGGCAAGGGACGCAGCCTCACCACGGGGAGCAGCTTCCTGCACCCAGTGCCCACGTGTGCCAAGTCCGAGGAGGCTGGGTGTCCCCTTCGTGGCATCCCACACTGGTTTGGGTTGGAAGGGACCTTCAAGACCATCTCGTTCCAGCCCCCTGCCCTGGGCAGTGACCTCTCCCACCAGCGCAGGTTGCTCCAAGCCCCG